GGAAAGAGAGAGAGAGAGAGAGAGAGAAAGAAAGAAAGAAAGGGGGGCTTACTCGTTGTAAGCGGGCAGCTTCATCCACTGATCGAGCGGGCCGGTGGGCTCGGTGCTGGCGACGCCAAGCATGCCGGCCGCGGTGGAGACCATGCTGGACAACTTCTCGGCCTCCGGCAGGTCAGCCGGCAGACCGAACGCAGGCGAGAAGGTCTGCACCAGGTGGGAAACCTGGCGCGAGTGGGCGGGCGGACAGATGCAAGGTCAATTGGCGAGGGACAATGCGAAGAGCAAGAGCTGCTGGCCGGGTGGCGGCGCGCACCTGGTCAGCCGACAGGGGGGCAGCCGAGCCGCCGGTCGGGAAGTGCCCGGTGGCGGCCTTGTGGCTGTCCCAGAGCTGGAGGGCCGCCGTGGCGCCGGCCTCCGCCACCAGGGACTGGTATTGCTGGCGGGTGTTGTCATCAGCCAGGACCTTCTCCAGGAGCTGGTCCGGAGACTGGCGCATGACGGGCAGAACGCGGCCGGGCTTGGGAGGCATGATGGGCAGGTGGAGAGAAGGGCCAAGAGGGGGGCGGGCGGGCGGGGGGGGGGGGGGCGACTAACAGAGGGGAGGAAGAACTCTCGCGGCGACAAGAGCAGGGAAGAGAGGAGTCTATCGGCGAGGCTGACAGCCCCGGGGAGCACATGGCAGAGGCATTTGGATCGCCGGGGCCCATCACCCTCGATGTCTCCCCGCCGAGCCCCGACACCCGAGGATGCCTGAAACGGGCGGCGGAGGGACGGGACAGGCAGGCAGGCAGACGGCCGAGCAGCGACGATCAGACACCCAGACCCTTCACGGAAGGCTTCTCCAGATGCTTCCCCCCGCATCTGTGTGCGCCCTCCCCCCCCCCCCCCGCTTCCTGGGCCTCCGTCACTGGGACCGAACGTCGCGGGGCCGGGCCGAGGAGCTTCCGGAAGGGGCATCGCCAAGGGACTGATTCGTTGGGATCTGGCTGCTTATGTGTGTGATGCCTTCATGTGATTCCCATTTCATATGGCTTCGTTGTCCCTCCGGCCGCACGCAGGGGCGAGCCGGCGAGGGGGTGCCGGGGGAAGGGGAAGGGGAACACGATGCGCCCCCCCCCCCCCCCCCCACCACGTTTGCTCCCCAGATGCCGAGAGGAGGGCGGGATGGCTGGAGATCCCGCTCCCCGGGGCGCTTGGCCAGCGCAAGGGGCAAGGGGGACTTCCACAGCGCGCCCCATGGTAATTGAAGAGATCCCCAGTTGGCCGCTCTGCCCTGGGCATTGGCCCTCCACAAGTCCCACGTCCATCGGCCTCCCCGTCCTCGCCGTCCCCCTTCCCCCTTCCTCTTCTTCTTGCCCTTTTCCTCGCGTGCTTCTCGCCTCATGTCCGCCAATCCGGCCCCGGCGGACGCCGGCCCGCAGCGCCGGCGCATCCCCATCATGGCCAAGTCCAAGACGTACCTCGAGCGCCAGGAGCTGCTCCAAAAGTACTCGCACCTCCCCGGCTTCGAGCCGATGCCCAACGAGGGGAACCTGACCGAGAAGTCGGGTCTGAGCGAGGAGCGCCACATGTTGGCCACCTCGGCCGCCGGGCAAAAGCTGACCGACGCGGAGCTTCGTGACTTGACGCCCGCCCAGCGGCAGCTCCTGCACAAGGAGTATTCCGAGGCGGTGTTGGCCCGGTCGTCCATCCTCCGGCCGAAGACCCTGAGCCGGCTGCACAGTGCCGCGGTTTTCGGCAGCGTGGGTGCGTGCCGCGCCCAGGCGCATGCTTGCGCGCTGCCGGTGAATGCCTCTCCCCCCTCGCCTCCGCCCTCGCCCCTGGCCATGGTGCCCCCGCTGTATGTCTGACACGCGCGATCCCTTCGCCATTTGGCCTTCTGCTGCTGCTGCTGCTGCTGCTGCCGCTGCTGCTGCCCTTCCTCCTCCCCCTGCGCACCCTGCCCAGGCATCGGCGTGTACTTTGTCTTCCTGGCGGACTTCGGCCAGCGGGACCATGCATTTGTTGGCGTCCGCCGGTATGTGGCCTCCACCGTGGCCACTCTCCTGTCGAAGCCCTTCACCCTGGGCGGGGTGGTGGGTCATCCGCGCGGGGCTGACGGCCAGCCGGATGGCGGACCGGCGGGCCAGCCCCGGCGGACCTCCAGCAACCGCCTCCCGAAGCATCCCTTCGACCGGGCGGTCATGATCAACCAGGCGGTCATCCTGTCCAACCAGGCCGCCGATGCCGACCCGGAGCTGGCCAAGAACCGCGAAGTGTGCCAGTATGTGTCGCGTCAGGTGCTGGCCGGTGCCGGGGGGCCTGCTCCTGTCCGTGACCAGGCCCCCAGCGTGGTGGCCTCCACCCTTGCCAACCTGCGTCCGGGCTCCACCGGCACCAGCGACACTGGCCTGTCCTTGCAGGACCTGTTGCAGATGCACCAGGCCGCGGAATCGGGCGCGGTCGCGGTCGCGGCGTCTGCGCAGTGAGATCCATTTTGCTTCCTCTTTTTTTCTAGATAGGTGGGGTGGTGCGCGCAGCCGGCGCAGAGACCCTGCTCTGTTCAGCATCATATACACACCGGCTTTTCCTTCCCGTCGAGTGAGAGCGAAACCAGGAAGCGGCGTGCGCGATTGGTGGAAAGCGTGCAGGGAGGGAGGCAGAGGGGGGGGGGGTGTATTGCTTGGAACAAGGACACGACATCGCGATCGTCGTCGGGAGGAGGGGGAGGGGGGGAAATAATGTGGGCGCGTGTATGTGTGCATGTGGGTGCGTGCAGCCGAGGAAAGCCCCACGGGCAGGGGCGTTGGGGGGACTCGAGACAGGGGGAGGGAGAAAGAAGGAGGGAAAAGGCAAAAGGGGGGTGGGGGGGGGGGAGGGGCTGAGGTGGAGACGCAGATGGCTGGCGGGGATTCCGCACAGCGGAGGGGACCGGACACCCGCGACGGAGCACCTGCCACACACTTTCTCCCCCCTCCCTTGCCCCTCGTGCCAGCGCACGCCAGGATCCCGTCCCTTTGTCCCTTGGACCATTGCAGGGGAGGAGGGGGGAGGGCAAGAAGGGAGAGGCGGGGAGAGAGAGAGAGGGAGAGGGGGAGAGGAGGCGGGGAGAGCATGAGCCCATGCGGAGCCACACGGAGAGGACAGAGGACGGAAAACAAGACGGCGAGGGCGAGAGGCAGAGAGAGGCCGAGGAGAAAATCAGTCCCAATCATCATTGTCAGACTCAGACTCGTCGGAGCTGTTGCCGCGGAACGCGTCACTGCGAGCGTTCAGGGCCTGGCGCAGGGCCGACGCAATGGAGTCAGTGGCATCACCACCGCTGCCACCGGGGCTGGCGGCGCTGGGCTCGATCTGGCGCTCGGAGGCGGCGCTCAGCTTCTGAACACCGCCATGGCCGCGGATGGCCTCGAGCAGGCCACCGCCAGACGGGGGAGCCGGGCCGCGGCTCGGGGGCGGCGGAGCGCCGAAACCGCCGGACGCCGGCGGCGGGGGGGCGCCAAAGCCGCCGGAAGGCGGCGGCGGCGGCGGCGGGCCACCAAAACCACCGGCCGGCGGCGGCGGCGGCGGCGGCGCGGCGAAGCCACCACCACCAGACGGGGGCGGCGGCGGGGGGGCCGGGCGCCCGGCAGGCGGCGGCGGCGGCGGGCCACGGCCAGGAAGCGGCGGCGCGGCCATCGGAGGCGCGGCCATCGAGGAGGTGGCGGCCCCGCCGGCCGGCGCTCCGCGCGCATCCGGCAGACCGGAATCACGCAGGAACTTCATGATGAATTCCGCGGTGCCGGAGTCCTTCATCTCCTCCTCGCTGACACCGGCCTTGATGAAGACCGCGCGCCACTCGTCCGGGAGGTTTTCGATCTTGAAGCTACCATCAACACTGAGACCCAAGTGGGACAGGTGCTGGAAGGTGCCGGACACCGGGCCACTGATCTCCGAGCGCTTGATGGGGCGCTTGCGCGCGCCGCCAGTGGCGCCGGCACTGGATGGAGGGGGCGGGCCACGCCCGGCGCCGGACGGCGGCGGTGGCCGCGACACAGGAGCCGGAGCCGGGGCCGGGGCCGGAGGGCTGGAGAACCCGGGCGAGGCGGGGGTCGGGGCGCCAGGCCGCGAGGGCGGCGGCGGCGGCCCGCCGGCGGTGCGAACGGGCGGCGGGGGGGGCGAAGCGCCGGCCGGCCGGCTGGGAGGGGCGGGCGGCCCGCCGAAGCGCACCGGCGGCGGCGGGGGAGCCGTACCGGCCGGCCGACTGGGAGGGGCAGGCGGAGACCCGGCGGCCGGCCGGCTGGGAGGCGGGGGCGGCCCCGGGCGCGAGGGGGGAGCCGGCGGGCCCGGGCGCGAGGGGGGAACTGGCGGACCGCCGAAGCCACTGGCAGCGGCGGCGGGAGGGGGGCCGCCAAAGCCAGCGGCCGCCGGGGGCGGGGCGCCAAAGCCAGCGGCCGCCGGGGGCGGGGCGCCAAAGCCAGCGGCCGCCGGGGGCGGGGCGCCGAACCCACCGGCGGCGGCGGCGGCCGGCGGCGGCGGCGGGGCCG